TGTTGTTGAGACTGTCAGCCCCGTAGAGTTCAGCGAAGGAGTCGAGCACTGAGGTGATTTTGAAGATGGCTCCGTTTCCGACCTCGGTTCTCGAATCGGAGACTAGGTTGGCTTGTTTGTTGACAGAGATAGTCTCGCCCGCCGAGTTGAACGAAAGAGGTGTGCCTTCGATGGCTGTGACAGATTTACCCGAAGTCTTGACATCTTCCGTAGTGATCGATCCTTGTGCGATGTGGCTTCGCAGGACAAACTCGAGTAGCGGATACGATGCCGGTGCCGTCAAAGCTGTGCTTAGTTCTTGGGGTAGATTCTTGAAAGCCTGTACATGTCAGCAATCCAGAAGGCAAGGCAGCGTTCGGTATCATTGCTTACCGAGTTGACGGGTGCAAATGCCGTATACTTGCGTCCATCGGTGAGGTTGTTGAATCGCTCTTCGAATTGCGGACCGGGAATGCCGCTGCTGCCACCCGTGCTCTTGAAGAGGCTGTAGAAAATGGAAAGATCTGGGTCGTTTGAAATGGCAGTCAGGAGAGGGGCAGAGTCCTTGGTGTCTCGTTCGACTGGAGAAGACACTGCAAGGACGGAAAGCAAAGCGATTGGGAAGATACGCTTGGCTAGCATCTTGATATCTTGATGTATAGCTTTAACTTGAACAGGAGGATCGATGAACTGTTGGCTACGACTTGTTTGTCGTTCACTTGATGCTACGGACGGTCAAGCGAGGGCCTTATATGTTTGTGTACGTCCATAGCTATACTAGCTTTCGGACCGTGTTAGAGCAAATTGTTTCGTTGTCAGAGGTTTGAGTTTGCCGTTAGGTAGTCCGTAGTGTATGATGGAATGCTACCAGATGGTGTAGCTTTCGGGCGAGCCAATCAAGCCAGAGGAATATCAGCAGCTAAGGGTCACTGTACCCGAAGGCGAATAGACCTTGACTACATCATCAACGTCGCGTCAGTGTTCTTCTTCGTCCGTTGTCATCTGTGACATCGGCAGGTATGACCGCCAAACATTTTGATACTGTGATGTGGATCAATATGTGGGGAGTACGAGGTTGATATCGGGAGGTTGGAGAGGTAGCATAGCAAATTTTGAAGGCGCAGTGGAGGTAATGAAGGGGAGCGCCACAAGGAATTCTGCCGATCTGATATCATAAAATACCCGACGCGCCAAGAGCAGCTAGCATCTTGTGGCGTCTTTGACGCCGTTGGTAGAGTTGCATCACTACCTAGGTAGGTGCCACAGTAATTCGTTTCGGAATTTTGGGTGACGCATGCTGAGTGACCCTGCAACGAATCGTTATTGCGCCATTGTGACAGTTCTACCTGAGTTGGTGACAGAATGGATGCGACGGGATTGCCATCCCTGTTGGAGATCTCCCGAAGACCAATCCATGACACAGACGCGCATGCAATCAAGGCCGCCCGTGCTACGAGTTAGTATGTATGCCGAGTCATCCATGCACGAAGCCCCAGCGCGCACCAGTACACCGGTGTAGGAGGAAGATTGCATCATTTGCGCGTGTGGCAGGTAGGCTAATCTTGACGGAGACCAATCCGCAGTAAACCTACAGGCGGACGCGCAGCGCGTTTATACGAAGATCAGCCCCGGACAGACCCTCTCTCAGCACCATTCAGCCTTCAATAAGGACGATAGCTTTCCTGTATGAGATTTAGAAAGATCTTCGGGTCTAGCATAGTCGAAATTCCTGCTCACCATGCCAACCCTGCTACGTGGACGATAGGCCAAAGACATGCTGTGAAAATGACAAGAGCGTCAGAACACCGAGTCTTTCTACCGCTTCAACAAGTAGTAAGGAACAATCGCTGCTCCCACCACAGCAGAAATAGTTAGCCATCTCATCAATCCCTTGTTGATCATCTTCTTGGCTAATCTGTCGATGGCTTCTCCGTCGTTGATTCTCGGGAAGGGAATATCCTTCGGGACATCCTTCCCCAGCGCCTTACACAACGGCTCCCAACCCTCTCTGACATCGAAAAAGAACAGTCTTTCCTCAGGCACAACCCTCTTCAAGTAAGCGATGTGCGCCTCATAGTCTCGGGTGGAGACCCCGTCATGCTTTCCATACAACTCGACCCATTGCTTCCCTAGGCCGTTGGTAAAGTCGACAAAGTGGCGCATTCCTGGGAGAGGAAAGAGTACAAAACGTAGAAACCACTTTGTCGTTGCGTTTGTTATGGTTCCTATGCTCTTCACCCACGCATCTGGATCCCGAGTCGTGCATATGACCAGCGCATCTGGATAAACTTCGACTAGCTCTTCTACCAGCCCGTTGAATGGCATGTCGTTGGCTGCCGCATAGCCGTCCAAGCGCTCCTTCAGTAGATCGTGGACAAGCTGTTTCTCGGAGGGCGACTTCGGTGGTGAGTGATCAAGTATCCTGATCAACGGTTTGATCTCTTTCTCGGCGCCCAGAGTAGCCTGCGTACCACCGTGGTAGACAGGTCCATTGAGTAAGATGCGCAATGCTTCGCTGAAGGATGAAGTTCCGGTGCGTGAGAGGCCAGCGCCGATCACTTGGAACTTTGTGCCTGGCTGAGGAACGGAGGGTTGGTTACCCATTGTTGATGCTAGACTAGGGTGTTACTCGCGAGGACTAAGTGGTTAGATAGCTGTTTATATAGGTGATTGGTCGATCTCGGATCTACTCCGGTGTGAAGCGGCCTGTGGCGCTCTCGGACCTGCAGACGATTGCTCGCTTATCGTTAGCCCTTCACCGTAGCCATCGGGATCGTCCCCGGGATTGATGCCATCCTTCAGCAGATTTGACAGTACTATGAGAGGATTGGGAATCATGACGGTGCGCCGCAAAGAAGCGAACTTTTGTTGAGACTATCAGTAGGTTCTAATTGTGGTTGTTCGCGCGATGAGCCGCTGTTTAGCAATCTGTCGCCGGCTTATGACCGCAAGCGGGCCGACGATGAGCTGTCTGTGAAGCGCAGAGGGTTTACAGAGTATTGAAAGTAGATTGATGGTGACCAACAAGCCCGGGGAATCGACAGGGCAGCGAGCAGGCGATGGCTTTGGTGCTGCTATGTACAACAGGGTGAACCTCCGGTGAAGGTCGAAGTTCGTTGTCGCCAGGTGTGATCGCATTTCGTGAGACTCTTGGCGTCACCTCACACTTGGTTTTGTGTAACCCTACAGATGTGGGGCGCGTGCCGCGTCTGGTCCATCCTCGATTCCATGACCATGTAGCGCCCTTTGATTGACATCAACCTTGAAAGCCGCAATTTCTTAGGTTACAGTGCTTCGTCTAGATTGTTCGGTCTTCGAGTTGAGCGCACCACCGGGGATCGGATGGGACCGATAGACTGCCAAGGTTACGGGTAAGACTAGACGTAGATGTACGAAATCAGCGTAGGCCTCACATGCAGTTCGCACAGAGAGACTTACTATGTCGAGATAATTCTCTCATGAGAACAAACCATAAGGGTAGTTTCGCAGTTCTCTACGAAGCATCTTATGAAACTGGTGTACACCGTGTGCGCAGGGAGTCTCGACTCCTTGTACGGAATCTGTTGAAGTCGCCGGTCCTTTTTCTGTAGACTTTGCTGGACATAGATGCCATCCGTGCGGAGATGTGGACACAGGGGCTGAGCTAGTTGCTTCAAGTGCTGTTGGATATCGATTATGCTCATGTCGCCAGTGCCGGCAATAATAGTCCATGATGGGTGACCACTAACCCTCCAGGTGTCGTCTGCAAGATTCTGTAATCGAGTGCAACAATACCAACTTTGTTCAAATCTCCAATCCGACATGCGTGATTTCAGCTGGTCGTACGTGAGATAATAGTGAGAACAGATACGAAAAGCAAGATTTGCACCATGGCATCTTCGTATGTGAGGGGATCGCAGCATTTCCGCTGCAGTGAACATCCGCTTCGGATGAGTTGCGTGACAGGCCGAGCAGAGGAGCTCGGCTTGTCTTTCTTCCTCGGCCAGCTTGAAGTATCGCTCGTTTTCAACGTCCCTCGCAAGTCTTTCCTTCAACACCTCCCGTTCGTGTACCTCTAGGTCAACATTTTGCACGTCGTGCAAGAGCAAGGCGTATCGGCGACACGCGAGCCGCAGGCAATACTTGTCGCTAGGTTGCATCCGTTCTGCAATATCGAGTACGAGTTCAGGGGGCAAGCGGTAGATGTGAGAGGTACTGGCGTTCCGAATCTCGATGGACTCTGCGAGCTGATTGGCCTTCTTTCTGCGCTTCATTGTTGGGGGCCAGCAGTTGTTCTTGTACTCTGTCAAGAATCTGGATAAGGAGACGTGCATGGTAGGCGTCCTTGCTGTCATGCGATGGGCGTCTGGCGTGGGCATTGTAGATGCTGATTTCGTTGTCGTGAGCGACAACGACGACGGAAAGACACGTAGCTTTGAATCTCCGACAGAATTTTGGTAGGACGTCAGTCGATAGGTAATAAAAGACCCTCGGAGGGGTAATATCTACGTGGATCCATGGTCCAGGGTCAACAGGCGTCCTCGGTAGCCAGTACCTGTGCTTTGTTCACCGATTTGAAGACGATTTTAAACGCTTATTGTGGGAAGGTAACGTCATGATTTGAGGTTATCAAAACACGGTTGATCATTCCACAGCCAGCGGCGATGTGCCTGTGGTAATGTAGCGTTGGTGCTCTCAAGCCCTCAGCCTCGTCATGCCTGTCGCTCGAGTTGTATACATCAAATGAACACAGTGACCAGATTTTCGATGCTGAATGAAACGAGGAAGATCGGAGAATACGTGAAAGAAGTTTGGGCGTGTTGAGGGCAGTTGCAGATGTAATGTTCTAAAGCCTGCCCAAAGCACGTGCGGCGGCGCTAGTGGCCCTTATGTCATCACAGATTGTGCTAACTTTTTGATAGTAGGGCAATCATCGTCACCAGCAGCTCGAGGCCCAACACCACCAACCTATTCCGACGTGTATCTGTCGCTAACGCCTTATACCCTAACCACACCAATCACACACCCGAACAACCGCCAAAATGGTCAAGCTCGAAGAGGTCATGGATGAGGAGTTTGTGCGCGAGCAGGAAGGCCCGCATGACGAAGATGAGTGGGACACCGACTCTGGTACGACACCGCAAACCGCTCCTTAGATGCGCCTGGCGCATAGAAGTGAGCATACCACACATATTCGAATACTAAATGTACCACTGCAGAGTCAGACACATCCTCCATTCACTCCGTAACACCAGACGAGACCCTCTACGACCGCATCATCGCTCTACAAGACATGATCCCCGCCAGCACACGCCGATCCGTCTCCTCAAAAGCCAACACAATCACTTCATGGTTCAAGAGCGGTCTGAACATGGGCGGCAAGACTCTATGGGTAGTGAGCACAAGTGCGCTGCTGCTCGGTGTGCCATGGGCATTGGCGTACAGCGAGGAGCAGATGATTGTCGAGCAGGAGAGGGCTGAGTTGCAGGCACAGAGGGCGCAAAACGAGGTACGTGAAGCTATTTTACAATGAGCGCTTTGCAACATCTTACTAACTTTTAACAGTTCATGGCTCCCGGAGCGCCCGTACCTGGACAGCCAACAGGCGCAAAGCCTGCTTTGTAGACGACAAAAATTTCGATTCGGTGTTTCGACTGGAAGCGACTCAAATATTAAAAACGTTGGGCTCTTCACATCTGTTTTATTAGGATGACGGTGCATGGAACGGGCTGAACCTGTACATACAGCGGCGAGAGTTTTACGCCGTCACGATCTGTACTATATTTCTCGACTCCACGATAATGTATTGCGTCACATATTCATCTTGCAAAAACCCCAGTTGTTTCTGTACATTTCATTTTTTGTGCCCACTGGCTATGCTACTATATGTACAAATACATCGTCTCATGTCGACATGCAAACATCTGGCGACATAGATGCTTCGCGAGATCCCGGTCTACCAAAGCTCGTATCCCATCAGATGTCAACGTTACGCCTTTTACATTCATAAATCACCCCAGCCGCGCGCATGCAGTACCGCGATCATTCCGCAGATAGTGGGATAGACCAGGAAAGCGGGGACGCTGGGTTTGCAGACGACGCTCGCTCCAAGAAAGGTGGTAATACAGCAAAGAGAAGAGTCATGGTATTATAGTCGATACATGGGTGTGTGGAGAGGCGTTTAGAAGGGGATCGAGCCGGCTGACATTGCGACGCCCTGTTGTTCTTGCTGTTCCATGACGGCCTCGTCGGCGGCTTCTATCGCAACGGCCAGACCAAGCTTGGCGGCGTTCTACAAGTTTGTCAGTATTTGCTGTCAGACTGGGAATTGGCGAGACTTACGCTCTTGTGGTCGATTTCGCCTGAGAAGGTTACGCGGATTGGCGGCGCAATCATCTTCTCCAACAAACACGAGACCTTGCCCTGGTTGTCGATCTGCGCCCTGTACGACGATTGACGGAAGTCGTACTTGGCACCGATTGTGACGTTGCCCTCCTTCTGTGGTCCGGCCATGGGTCCTCCGGGGCCAATTCCAGCGAATGCAAGGTTGCAGTTGATACCAGTCTCAACCTTGTCTGTAAGCCTGCGCCAGTATGAAGCCTCCAATACACCACGGTCGGGAATGATCTGACCGCACGCCATCCAGTCGACAGCCCTGTAGCGTGCCGCATACGAGACGTTCAGCTCTGGTGGGTATGCCATAGCGGGGCGGGTCCAGAAAGCATCGATACCGAGCGAGAGCTTGGGGGTGACGGCCTGGAGGTAGCTGGCCATGAGCATGCCGGTGATACCGCCATCGAGTATGGAGGGGTTAACAGCCTTCAGTGAAGCGGAGAAGTCGGCGCCGGTGTAGTCGTTCTCGAGCGACACCATGTTGCCTTGTGATGTGAGCTGGACGGCGGCCTTGGAAACGAATGCTGACGTCCAGCGCCAGTTGAAGCGACCGGAGAAAGCAAGCTCGTTGTCGAGGTTTCCTTGCATGAACACCTTGAAAAGTCAGCTTGAGAAGGCTGCCGACGATCTGAGCGACAAACCCGTGGTGATCCGTAGAGAACCATGTATGAGTATGGTGGCATGACCTGCGATCCCATGGACAGCGAGTGCGCAACCTGGAATAGAGGAGCGGCGCTGAAGGCCTTGGTGAGCTCGGCGCGCAGGCCCGAGAAGCTGGAGTTGTTCAGGAAGACATCGCGCTGGACCTCTCTCGCAATGTTCTCGACTGTGCCCGGGTTGCTGAGGCCCAATGCCTCTCTCCGCTCTTGGAACGCATCGTATACATTTAGGAATTGTGCGAATGGACCGGTGTTGGCGGCGCGAGGGCGTGATAGGATGTCGGCGACAGCTTGTTCCTGCGCTGGGTTGAATTGCAGCGGAGTGGCCATGGCAAAAATATGTGCCGAGGTCAAACTAAAAACTCCCTACGGTGTGGGAGAGCTTGCACAAGGTGGGATGGAAATGGCAGTAAACGGTTGGAGGGCGATGTTGGGTCGCGTTCGCTAGCATGACGATATCGAACAGAAATTCTAAAGTCGTCACGTGACGTGACCTAGTGACGCTAGAGCTTATCAGATCTTTAGTACCCAGGACGTGCCGCCCGTTGATACCATGATTGCTTTTTGGAATCATTGACTACCTAACCCCGCAAAGTACTGCCTGACTACCTCCAGACTCCAGACCCTTCTGCGACACTGTTACGTGGAACTTGCTGCACTTGACTGTTACGGGTTGCCGCACCTTGTTTGCTGACATCTCTCGGCAAACGCTATCATCGCCGGAACCTTGGAACTGTGACCTTGAACCGAACGCAACTCTATTTCATTGACCTTCGACCGTTTTCCCTCCCGTGCATCTTGCACTTCTTCTCTTTCCCATCACACTCTTCCAACAACTTGAAGAATCTGCAATTATGGATACCCTACTGTGAGTGCCTTGACCCCACTTTCCGCAGCGATGCGAAAGTACCAACGCAGGCCACCTCCTGAACAGGACATTCACTTATCATGAACAGTACCGCTGAGATATACGCAAACTCACCCCGCTTCCGGCGGCGGTCGAGTACTTTTGTCGACGCAATCCACGACTTACCCACCAAAGAGGAAATGGCTCCCGCTCAACTCTATAGCACAGAGTCAGGCCGCCTCTTCCATTCCGGTCGCATAGTCATCGCCACCTGTGGACTGCCAGCTCGAGGAAAGACACACACATCCGTCGCCTTAGCCCGCTACCTCCGGTGGCTGGGTGTCAAGACGCACGTGTTTCATCTTGGCGACTACCGCCGCGCTACGCTAGGTCCGGATAACGATGTCCCCGACGACTACTTCTTTCTGAACGCATCGCCCCAATCTGTCCTACTACGCAACAAGATTCTCAAGAAGTGCCGTGAAGACATCTACCACTTTCTGGAAAACGACAAGGGCCAGGTCGCCATTTACGATGCCGTCAATGCAATCAGTCAAGGCCGTAGATCTTTAGCGAAAGAGTTCGCCAAGAACGGGATCCAGACAGTCTTCATCGAATCACATTGTACCGACGAGCGCATCATCCAAGAGAACGTCCGCCGGGTCAAGATCTCTTCACCAGATTACCAAGGATGGAAGGACGAGGATGCGGTTCACGATTACCTAGCACGCATCAACGCGCGGATACCGCATTTCGAGACTATGGAGGAGCCGGACCTGCACTGGATCAAGATGATCAACGCTGGCGAGCGAGTGGTAGTCAATAATTGCGCATTCGGATACCTCTCCCAACGCATCGTCTTTTATTTGCTCAACCTCCACATCAAGTCGCGGCAAACGTACTTTGCTCGGGCTGGAACCACACGAGAGGAGGACTCGTACAAAGCAGACGCAGACCTGTCACCAGCAGGTCATGAATACGCTAAGAAGATGAGCGAAGTGCTTCTGAAGTATCGCGAAGAGGAGAAGCAGAAGCTGATTGAGTCGGGCGCAACTGATGCATCGCTGAAACCCTTGACGATCTGGACTTCTACGCGCCGAAGGACTGTCCAAACGTCAGAGGTTCTAGCTTCCATGGGCTACCGCGTCAGACAGCGATCGCAAATGAGCCAGATGAACCCTGGTGTATGCGAGAAGATGTCAGAAGCCAAGATCCGCCAGGAGTTCCCCGAGGAAGTGAAGAAGCACGAAGCGGACCCGTACCACCATCGATACCCGCGCGCAGAATCATACCACGATCTTGCCGTACGCATGGAGCCCATCATCCTAGAGCTTGAGCGCGAAGAGAACGATCTTCTCATCATCGCTCACGAGTCTGTCCTTCGTGTGCTTTATGGATATCTCATGGCATGTAACGCAGCCGACATACCCAAGCTCGAGTTCCCTCGCGATGAGATCATCGAGGTAAGCTTATCCAATAATACTCGCTGCCATCCCTAACCTTATATTAACACCATCCCAGATCATACCCTCCTCCTACAACAACGTGGCCAAACGCATCAAGATCCCTGAGCTACCCGAATCCATGGTTCCCGGCAGCCCCGAAGACATCAAGATCCCCGTCCCACCCAGTGGAGCCGTAAGTCCACTATCCGGAATGGGTACCCCTCAAGCTGGCTCCGGCACCTCGACACCCCAGCATGGTGTGCAACCTCTGAATCTGAAGGCACATATTAACCCTTCTTCTTGATCAGGTGCGGTATCGGTGTCGGTACGGCGCTACGTTTGATAACGAGCGATCGAGCCAACAGACGGACTATGACTCGGATTGAGGAACATGTGTGGTGCGTGCGGCGCGACGAATGGCTTGTGGATAGACGATGAGGATTTCGGCATGAGTACACGGACGGACACTTGTCTGGGCGTTGGGGTGCGGTGTGTTGAAGACCGTCCTTAGATTACACTTGACTTCTCGACCTGTTATTCAATATCCTTATGAGCATGACCTTCTCGATACCTTCGTCCTCACTATGCTATGTTTGACGATTTCAACTCGAATAGATCTTGGGTTTTGAGTTCTTCATTGCTTCATGTAATGATGGATGATGTCTTCGTTACCCTCTAACGACAATTCTCCACCCATGATCATATGTAAGCCTTGATGTCCATGCCGACCAACAGGAAAGACGTCGCAGCAACACCGTATCGCCGCCCGCCATTCCTTCGTCAACGTGATATCCAGAGAGTCTCTGACCGTGCCTTCGTCACACTCCAACGTCCCCACCATCCAAGCCATGTTCGTTACTCATTGCCTAGCGTTCGCACTCGAATAGAAAGTCAGTTCAGGTCGTTTTAGAAGTAATCGCAACGGCAGCTTACTCGTTGCCCCAGCCCCTGTCAATCGCCCACTGCCATCCACCCCAACCATCATGATCACGGGGACGGACCCTGAACGGCTCGTCCTCGCGCGCAGCAGGACACGCCCATCTATCACCCAAACCAATGCCGTAGTACTTGAGACCATAGCGAGTACCGTCGTTCTGACCGGGAGTAAGAGGGCGCGCGTCAGACGGCATCTCAGGTAGATCAAGGTCGAAGAGGTCGGGAAGAATACCAAGGAGGCACTCCATCTCGGCGTCAGTCTCGTGGATGTCAGCATACGTGGGGGCATGGTGGCCCTCGAAGATGTCGAACGGCGGAGTGGCAGAGGGAGCCGGAGCCGGGAAAGTGAAGGCGAAAGGGTGGGAGGGCTCTCCGAACTGCTGCATGTAGTGAGCCATGGAAGAAGGTTCTGGTGGGGACCAGCGTACTACGGGCGCGGGGTTCTCCACTGCTGGGACATGGCGAGGGAAGCCGCTGCGTCTCTGTTGGTTGTTAGGCTTCTGTGCATGCATTTCTGCGGGAGTGGGCCAGACTACAGTGTTCTCTGCACGGAACGGACGCTCGGGAAGCGGCGCCGGCATGAAACCTTGGAACCTCTCTGTAGGCTCTGCTTGGTAGGACGGGCGGCGCGGCATGAAGTTCGCATCGTCGGGGTAGATGTCGGCGTGCGAGGGCTCAGGACCTTGATCAGTGCGCTTGGTACGGGTCAGCGCTCGTGGACGTGGGCGGTAATCTCCTGGACTAGAAAGCTCAGGTACATGATCACGGCGTGACGGCCAGACGGGGTTCTGGAGGTTGCTGAAGCGTCGAGGCTGTCCGAAGCCCGCAGGACCTGTAGGCACTTGCTGAGATGGTGGCTGCATGACCGCTGGGTTGGTAGAGCTACGCTCCTCCGCGAAGATCCTGCGAGGACGTTCGCCCATAAAGCCCGGAGGCGCAGGAATCACTTTGGTAGACTGGCGTTCTTCATCTGCGCGCTCTGGATAGCGATCTTGGATGTAGCTCTTGCGACGTAGAGGTGCCTTGGCGGCGTCGTCCTGGGATGCGTCCTTGCCTTTGAGGTATTGGGCTAGTTCATTCGCGGTTAACGGCTTGTCCAGCGCCCGTCCTATGAGCTTACCCAATACGCCTTCTGAAAGGCCTTCTGAGCCGTGAGACTGGAGGAAGCGTGCTGAGGAGTCGACGTTAGTCGTCTCGTTCTTGATACCAGGGGGACTGAGGCCCGCACTCAGCTCTCCAACGTCTGGCGCCTTGGAGTCGGGGTTGAGTCGCTGACCAGGGAGGAGACCACGCGGACTATTGATAAAGTTTCCTGTAAGGTTACTGCGAGAGATTGCACCGGGGCGTTCACGGTGCAAAGTGATGTGGTGATCTAGATAAGTCAGCTTCGATCTTCGCATTGTGACAAGAAAGACATTACCTTGAAACATCTCCTGAAGAGAATCCAACGGCATGTCCTGCTGCTTGAGTGGCTTCCGCGAGGACTCTCCGAACTTGAGCTCTTCGTAGCCCTGGTAGTTGGGTCGCAGATCCCTAGAAGGCCGGAAAGGCGAGTCTTCTGCTATTCAGTCAGTCTAGCTAGAGGTGCTCGCGAGAGAGAAGACTTACCATCAAACACGTCTCGCATCTTCGCCTTCTGTCGCGGGCTGGTAGGCGGGGTCGGACCTGCAACTCCAGCGGACATGCTGGTCTCGGCTGCAGTTGGACTGAAAGTTGGTGCTTCCGGGTTGAACGACACAGACCTTCGCGAGGCTCTCGGCTGTTTCTGCTCCATGTTTTGTCTTTGTTACAGAAGTATTGTTAAAAGAGAGCTTCTTATATATGCGTAAGATGGCGGTCCTTGAGCATAAATCTCAAGCTCGAATACGACAGTGAATGCTGCGGTGACTTGCGATTTCAATCGTCCGTCACCTTCGTTTACGGCGAGTCGGTCGCCAAGACCAGCCTGGAGTGTCGCAGTGAATAGCGATATATACGGGAAACGAATTCTGTAATGAGCGACTGAGTTAAGACTGTCGTAGATATTGTAGTACAGGTAGGAGAGGAAATGAGTGTGGATGGTGTCGTTAGATTGACCAGGCGAGACTGGCTTGGACTGAGCTCATGGTTTCTACATCAAGCTGCGCAAGTGAAGGTGAGTATCGAGCGCCACATAGTGTGGCTTGCCAGGCTACCTGGGTAGCGCCCGATGCGAAGGTGAAGGTACACACCCTGGCCCATGGAGACGATACATGGTGTAGGCTATGGTACGGGTGGCAAGACAGCTTCTGACTTCCTATGGCATATGTGACGTGCTCTAGTATCGGCTCCCGCGCTGTTTATGAGGTTTGACGCCCCCACGAAGCCAGTCAGCGTGTGGGTGATCGTAGACTAAACAGCGCACGGACGGTCTCGATGACTGCTCGCGTGAGACTTCCAGGACAGCACACCAATCAGAAGCTCGTACGATGACGCCCTGACGCGCCTCATTGAATAGGCTGGAGTGCAACCTATGTTTAAAACCCTCGCACAACACGCCCCTTTGCGCCTGCTACATTCAAAGTCAGAGCTTCTAATTTTTTTCTTGCAGGTTCACAGCCCCCAGCTCACATTACGACCTGCCTCGCTAATCTGTGGTAAACCACAGCACGCGACCCCATCTTTACCCACCACAATAATGCACACTAGCTTCACCAGCATAAATCAACAAATACACCAGCCAGACCATCATACTCACCATGCCGATGATGTTCACCCCAGACGACACGTTGCTATTCTCACCTAGCAAGAAACAGCCGTTTGCTCACTCACCTTATGGTCACGAGATACGGACTGCGACTCGATGTCACCATGGACTCCACCCCTCCAATCCACAACATACTCCGTGGTGTTCCAAATGCACAGTTTCGCAGGCTAGAGCAAAGTCCGACGTTGCACTCAAGAAGCTGGTAGCCGAAGGCGGATTAAGACCTCCAGTGTACATGCGCGACCGACGGTGGAACAGGGCAAGAAACGGGTACCTGATAGCGAAGCAGCGACTCGAGAAGACACGCAAGGAAGAGCAGCTGCGCTGGGAGCGCGAGCGAGCGTGGGACGACGCTCACAACCAGTTCAACCCCAACAACATCCAGGCAGCAGTCTTACCCAACACATTACCCTCGTTGTGCCCCGTCTGTGACTCCTTGGTATCATCTTACCCCACAACTATGCCTGAGGCGCAACCCACAAAGTACGAGGCTTGGTGGGAGAGACCAAGCGCTCTTGCCACCTCACACATACTCGTGCGCCAGACACCACCACGTTCGCGCAACCAACATCCTGTATCCACGCAAACCCATAGAGGCAACCCCATACTGCGCCAGATCATCGCAGATAAGCGCAAAGAAATGCACTCGGACGCCAACTTGCGTCGAGCCTGGGAAGCCCGAGACAAGACCGAGGCGGCACTACGTCGCAAGCACGGCTTAGGCGACATGCCCATCAACAAAGACTTCTGGGACTACCCGATCTCCGGCTACTTCAGTCGCCTTACCCACCAAAACAACAGAGAAATGGTGCGTTCGGCGGAACGGCGCGCGCGCGGTAACACAGTGCGCCCCCGACCACCGCGCAGCTCACTGTCTTACTCGGAGACGACGGACGACGTGGAAGTCGAACCAGGCTTTGAAGAGACACTGAAAGAGAAGGAAGAGCGCGAGGAATGGGAGCGACAAGTCCGAAAAGTAGCAGCCGAGGTTGGATACCTTTATTTCGTCGGCGGTGGGAACAACCTTTTGGAAACGTGGGAAGAAGATTACGAGCGGAGTGCCGATTATCTCATTACGAGGAATGAGACTCCTGTAGCGGAGACGGCGAATGAGGGCGATGTCCAGGATGGGAGTGAGACGACGACGACGGAGGGTGATGCCAATGAGGAGGATTGGGGCGATGAAATGGATGTCGATGACGCTTAAGAGGGTGATGATGCATTCTGTCATGTCAACAGCGCTTAGATTGCTAGTTGAGTCGTTGTATAAGAGTTACACAGTGTATGGTTGTATTAATGATTGAGGGGTCAACACAGCTCCATTGACATACGGTTGACTTGCTGTGCGAATGAGTGCCGTATAGTGGATGTCATCGCTCGTGGGGTCGCTGCGGATCAATCTTGTGGCGCTTCTGGAATGCGTCGTGTGGGTATAGATGACATCGAGGCATGGGTTGAACGGACGATGCACAAAGCGTTGACGACGCCAACACGCGGGTGAAAAGCTTGTCTAGCGCTAACCGATCTAGGTGCATGGAAATGTCGATCGGGAGCATGTACGAAATCACGGTATGTCCTCCAAAAAAATCTACTTTCAATGATACATCATAACACTGTCAAGTGAATTGTATATCTTCATGACTGAGCTACAGTTCAAGCAGTACGAGGCCTCTCATCCGTCGCCCGTACCTCAACACCATCACCAGGCAGCTCATACATCAGATCACTGCCCTGGACTTCCACAACGCCTACTTCACCCGAGCCCTTCAACTCCCAAGCTTTTTCCACTGTCTGCAGCTCAGATACTTCTCTGTCCGTTGCCTCATGCTTCCCCGACCCAGCATCTAATTCGAATCTCTCCTTTTCCATAGCCTCAATTCCCATCTTGTGCTCGCCATGCAATTCTCCTTTATCGTAGTGATTGTCTCCCAGTGTGGTCTTGCGTCGAAAAGGACCCAAGCGCCTCTTCCAGACAATGATTAGGCACAGTGCTGCAAGCCCCGCCATGCCTGCACCTACACCAATCCCAGCATATGCAGACGAGGAAAGGTTCTTCGGGCTGTTTGTGGGTGAAGGTAGAGGCAGATTTGAAGTTTGGCTGGGTTCTGATAGTGAAGGTATTGATACGATGTTCGTGGAGCCATTATCATGAGACGCTTGACTTAGATTGAAACTCTGTGTTTCGTAGTTGACGGTGATGTAAGTTTCCTGCAGGAATGCTCGACCGAGCATGTGTTGTGCGGGCTCTGAAGCTCGCTTCAACGGGAAGTAGTATGTAGGAGTATCCACAAAAGGGTATGTGAGCTTGAGATCGAAAGCTGAATATGGAAGCGTATAATTGGTTGCTTGGTCGTCAAGTCCGATGGTGAATTGTACCTCGGGGTTCTCGCGTAAAAGCCGTGTATGTGTTGTGTCGTTGACAAGATACAGTTCTAATGTGTCGTCCCAGACCAGTCCAAATGCCGTTTCGAACATCGCACAAGCGTCCTCCGGGAGCCATATCTGTGGAACTGCGGGATCGATAGGAAATGCAGTTTGCAGAGATGGTTTCGCTCGATCCCACGAAGCGACCCCATTAATAGTGATTGCAGTCAAGTGTATGAAGAACCAATTGCTTTTCTCAGTTGAGAATTTCCATTCCGTGGTGGTTTCAGGATCGAATCGTGAAAAATCGTAACCGCCCAAGACCAGACTAGCTGATGTTTTGCCTGCGAGAAGATTTAGTTAGGAGCCATGCATCCTCCCAGATTAGTTACGTACGATTGAAAGAGCCCGCTGTATAGCCGAAACTCAAGCTGGGAATGGTTTTTGAGTTCCAGAGTGATAAGAGGAGTGAAGGTCGTGCTGCCCCAGGGGGACCGACGGAATCCGGAAAGAGACCAAGTGTCGCAAGTTGGAACCTCTTATAAAATGTCTCGGCGACATACTGTAAGGAGAGTTTGCGGTCTTGTGCAGTTTTTCCGAGATATACATCATCAACGCCCCATGAAACGAGGCCCGGGTTGTCTGCTTCGCCTTGTTCGCTAACGTCGGGGTAGCTGCTCAGATATTCGGTAATTTCTACAGGCATACGAATACTCTGTATCCACTCCCAAGTGCCTGACGAGTCTCCGTAAAAGAAAACGCATGTGTCATTGCACCATCTGCTTTCCCTCGGCACAACGACGACCGGAGATATTGGGCCAGGAATGCACCGAAAGGATTGAACCGGATTGCCCACAGAGAGGTCAAAGGTTGACCACGGACCGTCTGCGCCGTCCCTGTTCCACGATTAGTTGGATCTCGAGCCATAATCATGAGAAATTACCAATGTCCGCTAGGTGCGACAACAAGCGGTTCCACAGCAACTGCCTGCACCAGGCATTGCCATACCCATACTGCTGTGAGCCACGTATAGAGGATGGCACGACATCGAAAAGTCATGATGTTTCAATCCTCATGAGAGAGAGGAACGGAGACGCAGAACGATAGAAACCCAAGACGCAAGCAGACGGGAAGTAGGCTTGAACATTGGGGGCCATAATGCCTGCTTGCCCCAAAATTACAGGGGTACTGTTTATCGAGCGATGCTACTGGTGAACATAATGCCAATAACTATCGGGGGCCTGTATGCCAAGTAGTCTTACCGGTCTGGGTGCAGGCCGTGATAAGCTAACCTGCAAGAGAACGAACACCGCGCGGGCATGCAATGTAAACTGTAAATCGGACGTGACCAATTCGGGAATCTGGAAATACTTCGCTCGTGCTGAGAAAGGTCATGTATTCACTCACAGAATAAAAGGGTATACAGACTCACAACTCCCTCCTCTTCCTCGCCTCCTCATCCCCCTCCTTAACCTCACCCGTCTTCTTCAAATCCACAAACTCGCCCTCATCCTCCAGCGCATCAACATCACCCTTCTCCTTCGCCTTTTGCAATTCCTCCGCTTCCTTCCTATCAGCCTCCTTCTGCATCTGCTCATCTACCTCTTGTCTCTCTACAATCTCTGCTTCTTCACCGACCTCGCCCGTCAACGGGCCCTCGCTCTCTTCGTACCAGTCTGTGCTCTCTGTCCACTCGATGATCTTCTCCTTGGCTGTCTCGCTGAGGGTGTAGTAGCCGGGGTTGTTGCGGGGCTCGAACATGGAGGTGTGGGCCCAGGTCTCTGCTGTAGCTTTGTCGTTCACGGCGGGCATGAAGAAGTCCTTGAGAGGGCCTTTGGGTAGGTTGCAGAAGGTACGGTCTTTGCCTGCGACTTTGCCCGTCCAACCGTGTTCCTTGTTCTCGCTGTTAACGGCATGACCGAGCGTGGTGTGCATATTGCAGAAGCCAAGATCGTGGCTCGTGGTGAGCTTGGCAATCTTCTCGAGTCGCTTCCGCATCTCTTCGGGACGAGCGAGGACTCCGACGAATTCCAGATGTGATGTAGCCCATGATACGCCTTGAGTGATCTGGTCTTTCTTCATGTAGGCTGCCGCACCCCCTGCTGCTATTGCGCCCGCTGCACCAGCAAACATGGCTACCTTTCCGTAGCGCTGCCACAGCGGTGCCGATGCTGCGTCGCCAGTAGACGAGGGTGCCGGAAGCATCTTGCTCGTATCGACGGCACCAGCCGCAGTGTCCTTGCCGCCCCATCCAAACGCGCCTGCGAGGTTGTTATACGCTGAGTATGCCGAGCTCGCGGTGTTCCAATGCTTCTCCGCGCCATGTGCCACTACGCCAGGCGCTATACCGAGGTATGGTGTATCGAAAGCGAGGATGCCCTGTATGTACGGGAACATGAGCGCCGAATGGTCGGCAAGCGAGCCCGTAGAGCCGGTCTGCGAATTGGACTGCGAATGGATCGGCTGTTCAGCGAGGATGGAGAGGAGCGTCTCAGCCGCAACGATGCCGCCCATAGAATGGCCTACGAGAATCGTGCGCACAGAAGGGTCGACGGTGGGCGACGGCGTCGAGTTGGCGACCTCGAGGTCTATGACTTTGTTCTGTAGCCATTCTTTGAAGCGGCCGACGCACTCGTGCAGGTCGCCTCGCGTCTCGAACTGGGGGTACGTGATGGTCAGGACGGTGACTTTGGGCAGCGCATGCTGGAGGAGCGCCTTCACGTGGCTCGGGAAGGTTCTGAATGTTTCATCTCCACCCTATAGCACGTGTCAGTATCGTTCTCGCATTTGTTCGCATCGCATTGGGCGTCGCATTGCCCATGGCCGGGCCTGAGACATGCGGACACGACCCCGGCGATGACGTAATGAGGGTATCGCGTAGAAGATACGTACCTTGAAGCCGTGGATGAAACACAGCAATAACGTCTTTCTCATGGTCCTCGACTCTACTCCTGTGCTCCTGCATGGTGGTGGGGCTGGGTTAGTGGAGGGCTGACGATAAGTCGACTGGGCGGGAAGGCGATTACGTCTGGGGTGCAGCTACGCTCGCTTACCTGGCAGGGGGCTGTTGGCCGGAAGGATCGATTGCCGTGGAGCAGCACGACGGCATGAGAGTAATTTGAAAAGGTTGGATAAATGCGCAGGCAGAAGGAGAATCACATGCAGGTAATTGAGAGAGTGAGGTATTCATGTGCGTTGATTCATCGTTTCACGCAAGCTTTCGCTGCTGCGACTGCTCTTAATTGTGTCCACATATGCTACATGACTACTTCGTGACACATGGTCTCTCTGACACTCCCGGGCTGTCGTGACTCTTCTCTGCCAATCCATCAATGCGGGTATAGTACAAACAATGCAAACTCCAACGCCATATCGTGAGCCTCTTCGGCAATGCATAAACATAAGAAAGGTGTAGACACAGTGCTACCAACTGCCCGTAAGTAGCACGATGGCCACTGCAGATAGACTTGCTATCGACAAGTCCGAAGCCTTGAGCTGCCATGATGCGCCTACCGCAACGACGTCGAACGGTGAGCCACCGCCCGAGTCAGTATTTGACAGCTGCGCATTCGGTGCTTGAGTCGGATCCGCCGCTTGCGCAGTGTCTGTGGGTGGGGCGACAGAAGTCGTGAATGTTCCAGTGGCATTCGGATCCAGCGTCAAGCCCCCTGTTGACGAGCTCGTAGTTGTCGGTTGCGCTGAGCTGGTCGGCTCGTCATCATCCCCATCGTCCGAATCTGCAGTTGAACTTGACGGAGTTGACGTCGCTTCGATTGCTGAGTTTGTGAAACTTGTAGACGTTAAGACCGCCTGGGTGCTTGTTGCTTGCTCTGATGTCTTCGTGCTCGTCTTTTGGGCAGTCTCGCTCGAGGTCGTTACGATAGTTACTCCTGGACATAGACTCTGGATACCCAGTCCGTTCTGGAAGACGCCGATGATGCTCAACTCGCCCGCATCGACGTCCGCACACTTGTCTTTCACCTCCTCCGCGAGCGCCGAAAGACCCCGTACGCAGGAAGCGGTACATGTTGCGCCAGACTTGAAGTCATCGGCTGAGCAGCCCGAGATCGCGGAGTTGTAGACGGTGTTGCAAGATGATGGGAGGTTTTGGATCCGCGGAATGAAGGCCGAGAGCGAAACTGTTGTCGCTGAGGATATCGACGCAAGCGTGAGCGCCACCAAGGCTGAACGTATTGAGGCGGGTAGCATTGTGAGTGTTGTGAAGGTTTTCGTGAATTGGGGTCGGCAGACCCGTAGGTCTCGAAGGGAGAAAGGGCCGTGACCCAGAGTTCCGAGTGCCAATCTCGAACTTCGATCACGAAGCCTGGATGTCCTGGTGGAAAGATGTCTTCCGGAGGTGGTGAGACGACTTGCGTTTGAACAGGCGGTATGACGTTTTCAAGACAGCGGGTTTGTTTGCGTCGTGTGAAATTTCGAGTGCTGCCGCCTACCGACTGCACTGTGGCCTTTTGCTGTGATGTCCCGGTGACTGCGCGTTGCAGTGGACAACCGAAGTTCAGAACTCCTGCTAACCTTCTGGGAGAGATGGTGATGCGCCCCACTTCTCACGTATGGGGATATCGACAGAACTGTTTCGACACAATGGTGTAACGGCAGTGCGCGGATATACCAAAGATCGCCTTGTCTATACAGAACTATCCAGAAAAGCTGCAATAAAGAACGTGAATGACGCAACACGCAAACGAGGGAACGACTGTTGTTTCTTCCTGGCACCGGGCCTGCAAAAGAGCGAATGTACTTCCGAAACGAACTGTTGGGGAACAAAGACGCACAGCGTTAAGAAAGAAAACAGTTCGCAGAAGAAAGGAAAGGAGAAGGGAGGAGAGCCGCGATCTTCGTGATATTCAGTCGCTCAACAACCAAACTCAGGCAGCGTTGGGACCAGGCGGCGGGACCCGCCACATCTTAAGGTAGATCTACAAGGACACCCGTCCTATCCGCACGCAGAAGACCCTTACCTTGCCTTTGCCTCATCATAGCTCAAGTGGGTAGCCACGAGACGGGCAGTCCTTGTGCAGCTATCTGAGTGTCGCAAGTGGCCGTTATTCAGTTTTCTGAAACAACGGGGTTGCCTGTGGTTAGTGTCGCTGCGGTGTTGCAGCCGCCCATTGGCTGGGCAGGCCAGCGCAGGCGTTACATGTCGCGACCGCGCTTCAGATGCAGGTACCCGGAGCTGGACAGGAGATGTGTGAGAGGTGTGTGTCGCGCGTGTACTTAATTGAGCTGCCTCGGCGGCTGCGTATGGACTGGCGGGCGAGGCGCGAACCACAATCGCCCGAGATGAGACGGTTATGGCGCCTGCGTGGCTGTGGCGCGTGGATGCGTTCGCACGTGGAGCCCAAGGGCCTAGAAGAGAGAAGCTATCAAGATGCGGACTTGGCTTTCTTGGAGTGTACGTATGACGGGTTTGACGTGTGTGTGATGGTTATAGATGCGAGCTGCGTCTACCCTGATGGCCGCTGTTCGCGCTTTAACTACCTCGCCGCCGCTTCCTTGCACACAAACCTCCATCATCCCAGCACGACCACGAGCCCATATGCGGGGCTTCATATAGCAAGACATTTTGCATGATGGCAATTGTTTCATTGTTTCAATCATCTCCTCAGCTATAGTTCCTGACGTTTTTCCATAGTTTCCATATCCGCGCTGACCGCGTCCAGCATCCTTGCCATGCGCAGTGCTTCTTGGTCTGCCTACTCCATAACGATAACGCTCCTGAACCTCACCTTTCCGCTTTCCATGTGCTTGACAGCATCTTCTACCTTGTCGAATGGGAACTTCTCGACCATGCACTTCACGCCCTGTTTCTCCGCAAAGTCAATCGCTTCCTCGCTGTCCAGCGCGTGCCCCGATGGCCATCCATGGACCGACTTGCCCTTCATGATCAGGCTCACGGTGTTGACTGGAATATCACCAACAGGCGCAAGGACAAGCAATTTGCCCAGAGGTCCAAGTCCATCAACCAGCGGCCCTATGATCTGCGGGTTGGGTGCTGTGACAACAATGAGGCTTGCGCCACCCATCTTCTGTAGTGCCTCGGCGGCGTTTTCTTTCGATGTATCGATGTAGTCGTTTGCGCCGAGCTGGTGAGCAAAGTCCTTTTTGTTGTCCGAAGAGGATACAGCGACCGTGCGGTAGCCCATCTTGCGAGCGTACTGGAGTGCCAGATGACCTAGGCCACCAAGTCCTTGCACGGCGACAGTGTCACCCTGCTGGATGTTCATCTTGCGGATGCCATTGAACACGGTTACGCCGGCGCAGAGTAGAGGAGCGTACTCGGCGGGGTTCGCATCGGCGGGAATACGCACTGCAGCCTCGCTGCGGAGAGTACAGTACTCAGCATCTGACATCACATCAGTCCACCGTCCGGCACATCTCAGTATTCGCCAAAAGAAAGGTAAAACTTACATCCACCGTCCCGACTAACACCATTAACAAGCTCATTCTCACACATCTGGAACATCCCCTTGTTACACGACTTGCAACTCCCATCATGAGAACCATGCCATCCTCCGCCGACACGGTCTCCAACCTTCCACTTCTTTTCGCCATCGCCAACTGCGATTACCTTTCCAATGACTTCATGGCCCGGAACGCGAGGGTAAACGTCGCCCAGATGGCCTTGTTGCATAAAGCTGTCTGAGTGACAGATACCACACGCAAGGACCTTGATCAGGACCTCACCTGACTTGGGCGCAGAGACAGGGACATCTTTGATCGTCCAAGGCGCGCCCTTCTTCTCAATCACGACGGCGCGGCAAGAGGAGGGGATGTCGGATGAAGACATGATGTTGTTTGTTGTACGAGTGTGCTGAGATTGAGCAGGTAAAGTGCAGAGATCAAGCTTCCTTGAGCGTGGACGCAAGCGTTTGTAGGTGCAGTAGTCAAGACGGTGTTGATCTGTGATGTCAACGAGCTGAGGTAGGCGCGACCTAGCCCTCTTTATCTCTACCTCCGTCATGCATGTATGCATACATCATCGTTATCACCTATCGCCGTTCCTGTCTTCCCCGCATCAACCTACGACTAAACATTTAAATTGCTCCTGGTCGACCAAACATACTTCCGCAACGTTCCGTATCAAATGTCCACCGTTCGGTTGGCTCGGTTTCTTCGGTACTACACCCTATGCATCCGGATTATAAATGTGTTTCTCAATATGACAATACATGTCGCGGCCGTCCGTACCTTCCCAACTACACCGTCACCCCACCTATCTCCGCGCACGGGTTAGTCTGGGCATACTTGCTCCTCGCATACCGATTGGAAGATGATGACACGCCCAATGGGCTTAAGCTAACACCGACAAAGCCAAGAGTGTTATTTGGGTGTGCTATATACAGTCATGTATGTAGTCAGCGAGTTGCAGCGGTCGAATTCCGCGTCGTGCTCGATTAGCGCGGAGTTTACGGGTGTTAAACGCGTCGTAAGGATGAACAACAGAGGAGACGTGCAACCAGAACTTGGAATATGAAAGGCAGAACGTGTTGGGGTATCATTTTAGTGCTGTCTAACCTCCAGTCAACAACTCATGAACACCTTACCAGGCGTCAAAGTTACCAAAACCACCAGTCTTAGCTTTCTTCTTGACGGGCGCAACATCCTCCTCATCATCCACGTATCCAATTATCTCATACTCGCCCTGATTTTGTATCTCCTGCTTCGCAGCTTGGAGATATTTGCCTACACCGAGACCCTCACCGGTGCCGTTATCCACAGTGCCATCTGCGCGTATGCGCTTGCCCGTCCATGTTGTCTTGTCATCCGCTGTGCCGCCTTGCCTCTTGATCTCCTCAGCCTCCAGCTCTTTGTTCTCTTTGTCTTTGCGCTCCTTCTGCCATTCCTCGAACGGGTCTACAAAGACTACTACGTCTAGTATCTCGATATCATCGACAGGCTTGTCCTTCTCGCCTACTTCTGCGACCTCCATAGATCGTAGTGTAGTATCCAGACCACCAACTACTCGCGCGAAGATTGTGTGTTTGCGGTCGAGATGCGGTACGGCGCGGTACGTGATGAAGAACTGGCTCGTGTTGGTTCCCTTGCCCTTGTTCGCCATACTGAGTACGCCTCTGGCGTTGTGCCTCTCTGGCCCTTCGAACTCGTCTTCGAATGGCTTGCCCCATATGCTTTGTCCGCCTCTTCCAGTACCCGTCGGATCACCACCTTGTATCATGAAGCCCTTGATGTTCCTGTGAAAGATGGTATGGCTGTAGTATCCTTTCTGTGCCAGCTTGACAAAGTTCCACACTGCGCGCGGTGCGTATTCGGGGAGGAGTTCGACGTTCAGGTCGCCGAGCGAGGTGGATATGCGTGCATAACCTTTGTTCTTTATGCGCTTCGGCTTGAGCATGTAGTCTTCGTCGGAGAGGAGGGCGCGTTCGCCGGAGGTATGCGGTGTGACGCCGGTCGAGGTAAAAGACGCGGCAGCTTTACCAGAGGTATATACGGCGGCATTGTATGCTGGTTTCTTGGGTTCGGAGGATGTCGATGCTGCTGTGCCATTCCTGGGTAGATTCGCAAGCGCTTTCGATGTAATCCCGCTCTGCTCCTTGATCTTCCTGTTTTCGCGCGCTTTCGCAACTGCTTCTTTCGCCTTAAGGATCTTCGCAGCGTTGCCCAGCGCCTCTTTGTTCACACCGGTCTCCGCCTCTGCCACCACTGTGTCTCCGTCCTTCACATGCTTGTATGAGCTGAAGTCTCTTGACTCGATGCTCTGGGGGTCCTGAAGTGTGATGATGTCCTTCCGTGTGAACGGGTCATCGCTGACCAGATCCTGCCAATTCTTCGCCTTGATGTTCAGCCTCTCAACCGTGTCCCATGCGAAGACATTGCCGCTCTTCCTCAGCGCGACGATGTGTGTGTTGTCTGTGAAGACCTTGTATGTGACCGGATCAACGAATTCGCCGTCCTCGTTCTTGGTGAAGTTCAGGGTGATGAGGTCGGCGCGCTTCAACGGCGTTCCGTCGACGGGATTCGTGTCGGGGTGTTTCGATAGCCATGTGAGGATGTGGGTGAGATCGAAGATGGTGCCCGATAATGTGCACACAGGATCTGTGAAGGGCTGGAGCGAGACGGCGCAGTAGTTGAAGGGTAGGCGTTTGAAGGTCGAGGATAGGCCGGCAGCGGAGGCTCGATTTGCGCTGTTTGCGCCGCGCGCGTTGCCGAACGCATCCGAAGATGACCACTCAGAGTGAGTAATGTAGAGCTTGTCAGTTCCTTTACCCATGTCGAATATACGTAGCGGAGGAGGATGTCGTTCGAGAGACGCTGCGTGAGGCGCAAATTGTCTGTAGGAGTGACGCGCCGGCGATCAGCCACCCTAGCGCGACTCCACATTCGAGTCCAATCCACCCTTCCGTGATGTCTTACCTCCCGACCACGACTCTCTAAAAGCGGGTCTTCATATCACCTGGACATGTACCAAAGCATGTCAAAACAAGGCCCAAGCATGGAGGAGCGGGCTATGCAGTATGTAGAGCCTTCTATTGGCTATCACGAATATGCTCAGCCACACGTGAACAGGCTGCCAGCGCTTCAGCCTTCTCACAACCTCTTCAACATTTCCTACGTGCACCTTTTGCAAAAGCTGTGCTTGTCCTTTATCATCGCGAAATCTGGTCACGAGGTCAACGTACCGTTGAGAGACAGCTAATGTGCACTACCTGCTGCACGCGAGAGCAGAAAGGACATTGTATGTATAAGCAGATATCCTGGGGATCTACATTGCTGTTGTGAGTCCTGAGTTCTCATTCTCCATATTGTTGTAGCCTGTAGAGCTCATCAAGATCTACGATCCTTACACTTATGCAGCTTCGTCCTTATATAGAGAAATCCGCGTTGACCTTGGAAAATACCCCGACACGCACCGTCTCTACTCACACGATGTCGGCAATTCATCAGTCTGCCCCGCTGGACCTTGGCTCTTCCGTGAATATCCGCCTGCTCAGACTTGAGCTAGACCTATGGCCAGTCTGGCTCACACCAATAATTTCCGTTCGGCTGCATGTTACGTCTCTAGAAGATGCACCGCACTATACCGCCGTTTCCTACGTGTGGGGGGAGCCTTCACCTACATCAAATATCCTCCTCAATAGAAAGGTCTTCTCTGTACGCCAAAATCTTTGGGAATTACTCAGTCGGCTGCGAGATGTGCACTTCGATGGCTACCTCTGGATTGACGCTCTTTCTATCGATCAAACCAGCGACAGCGAGAAGAATCATCAAGTTGCAATCATGGGGTCTATATATACTAATGCAGAGACGACAATCGCTTGGTTTGGTACCGCGAATGAGGAAGTTGCAGAGAACATACGCGCTTTGAACAGAAAACTCAAGATGGCGCGTTTCAATTACAGTGGTAGATTGGCGAATCTTGAAGTCACTGGCTTCAAATATATACTAGCCCATCCGTACTGGACCCGTACCTGGATCTTGCAAGAATACATACTTTCACCCCAGGTGGAGTTATGGTGCGGGGACGAGATATTGGGTTCCGCAAAACTGGATGTGGTGGCGGACAGCTGGGTCGATACGATGGCGAGCCTATACGAGACAAGTGCGCAGACAAGCGCCCTTGCCATAATCATTCATGGAGCTGCATACGGGGTGAAACGCTACACTTTGTGCTGGTTGTTGAACCTGTCGTCAGATAGCGCTTGTCTCGATCCGCGAGATCGAATTTACGCGTTGCTCTCATTGATGTCGCCACGAGAACGGGATCTTTGGGATATCACACCAGACTACGCAGCCTCGACTCAAGACCTATTTGAGCACTTGTGTAGTGTTTTCCGGGACACTGATAAGGATGTTGGAAGATGGGTGTGGACATTTGAGCAATGGAAAGAGCGGCTAAGACGTATATTGCTCCTGGATGCTGTGGAGAAAGACGGTCAAGATAAGGCATGTATCTCCGGCACCGACGAGAGTTGATTTCTACTTCCTATGGCACTTCTTTGGAAACAATCTGATGTGACGGATGTCTACATCAGGATCAAGTTCTCGAATTTATCCAAACGTTTAATCTTCTAGACTCCCGAAATAGAAGCCCTGATACACAAGGTACATGGTGAAGCCTCGTGACCCATTACCAAAGGCCGCGATGCCTACTGTTCTCCAGCCACAACTATCTTCCACTCTTCAGTAGTCATCCAATCATCAAGTCACTCAAGTCACACATGCAACACCAAGAAAGTGTTAAACCAGACTCGCTAACATTCATCTATATACAGACCCAGACGAAGCCCCCACGAAAAAAAGAAAAGAGCTGCTCCTATCCAAAAGACCGTCAAGGAACAACCCCCTTCCCCTTCCGCAGACCATCCGTCTCCCATCCCATCCATCTAATTACAGTTTATATAACCAAACAACTAAAAAGGAAAACAGCTCAAGTAAATGAGTGTATGGTAGGTCAGTTATGTACAGAACTAAAGGAGTGGCACCAAGAACCCCATCATAACAAATGGGATTCTTGAAAAGCCGAGCTCGCTTTATTCATACTCTTATGTACTTGTAATATCTCTTTCTCTCTCTCTCTTATTGTTCTTGTGCCCAAGTGGAATTGCCCAGCAAAACCGCAAAGTTGTTCTTCGTCTCTTATTATATTATATCCAACTCTTCATTTGTCGTGTTATCCGAGATTGCTGTGTATTGCCGTGGGCCATGTAGAGAAAGCTTGATGACGAGAAGCTTACTCGGGCTTTCCGAGGATACCGCGGGCCATGTGGCGCTTGCGGAGGTTGTACTCGACCGCGCGCTTCTTAGCAGCAGTGCTCTGGGTGAAGGCAGCGGAGCCACCGAAGGGACCAGCGAGGGCAGCGTTCTGCATGCGGACGATGCAGACGTTGGTGGCGCCGCCGGCGGTACCGGAGCAGGTCATGCCAGCGGGCATCTGGACCTTGACGGGGAAGTCCTTGACGGCGGCGGCGGAGAGACCTCCAATACCGATACCGGGGACGTTCTGCATGACGGTTGCGTCCTGGAAGGCGGCGGGGTCGGTGCCAGCGGAGGTGGCGTCGATCTGGGCGGTCAGGGGACCGGCACCGTCCTGGTTGACTTGGTGGAAGGTCATGGTGATGGTGCCGTCGTCGGCGGTGGTAGGCAGACCAGATGTGGCTCCGGTACCTGCGGCTTTGGCAACACCACCCTCAGTTCCTGTGGACTTGGTGCCGGCAGAGGCAGCACCGGCGCCGCCAGCGCCACCACCGGTAAGAGCATCGAGGAAGCCACGCTTGGCACCAGCTGCGGCACCAGCACCAGCACCTCCAGCAGCACCTCCCATGAACATGGAGATAGCGGCACCAGCGTCAACAGCACCGCCACCCTGGGTGCGTCCAAGAGCAGAGGCCTTGCCACCCATCTCGCGGGTGCGGATGATGGAAGTATCAGCCTCGGAACCGCAGAGAGGAGAAGCGCAGTTGCGAGGAGTACCGTCCTGGACGGAAAGACCAGGCATGGTTACACCATTGGCACCCTGGATCTCAGAAACGACACCGTGGGCCTGAACGGAGGCGGCGATAGCAGCAATGGCAGCGAGAGAGTAACGCATCTTGATGGATATGAAGTTGGTTGATAAAAAGGGTTAAAAAGAGTTGAAGATAGTTGAGAGTATTGAGTGAGAAAGATGTAATGAGTAGTGAATTAAGCAAGCGACCGGCGCAAGAAAGTAATTAGAAGGATGGAAGGAAGGGAAGAAAGCGAGTCTGGTTGGTTTGAATGTTGAGTGATGGTGATATCGAATCTAGGAGGATGAGCAGTGAGGTTTATATACAGCTTTTCTCGCGGTGGCTTGTCAGCGTTCCAAAGCTTAGCATAGACACAAGCATTTAGCGGTCTGCGTCTCCGATCCACCAAGGCAAGATGGCGCCCGCGACCCCTTGCTGCCATGGCCAAACACGATGATGGTTGTCGAGGGAGGCTGTGATACCGAGAGCACAGACCCTGACCGGAGAGCTGAGACGATGCTGGTCGAACGATGGTCATGGTTACTCTACTAAGGCCAATTCCGCTAGGATATCCACTGCGGGACGATCATCTCCAGAAGCTTGGTTTGGGATCTTCCCAAGGCTGCTTCGGAACAATGATGTCGCGTTGTGGGAGTGTGCATTGATGTTTGGCATCTGAGGAAGCATGTCTGCAGATGTGTATCAGCAGCGAGGTTTCGATTCAGGCTCGGCGATCGAAACAGGATCGAGGGAACATCGTTTCGCTCTTGCATGCTCGCTTTCGCATTCTTGTGATATCATTCGGGATTGCGCAGACATTTTGCAGGTCGTGGTCATACACAAAAGTAAGCAACGAAATAATATCCCTGGCCGTTGTCGGCAGCTTTCCACCGCTTGTCGTTCACGAACGGTTAGCCAGTAATCCGGCCGAGGTGAAAAGGCGATGGTTGTTTCAGTAGCGGGGTTTGAAACTCTAAAGTTTGGTATCGTTCGAGGGTTAGCGCGTTGCTTCTTGCCTCAGCTGCAGACCCGGATATTCCCGAAACCTTCGAGCCGCCTCAAGCACGACCATGACTTGACTTCGACACTTCCAGGTGACTCCACTGTAGCACTGTAATAGAGAAGAAGGTTGAGAATGACAGCTTCGAAAACGCGGAGCGGTGAGATTGTTGAACAACATGCAGGTTCTGGACGCGGATCTTCATGCTATCGGCTTCCAGTGTTTCGCTATGCATGTCGGTCACAGCAAGGCTTGCCACATCTGGACCGTACGGAGCAGTGATCGCAGTAGCTGCATCGTGAGGCAAACGTTACAGTCGCAGATACGGACCGGCCAACATCGAAACATTGGTATCAACGACACTGGCCGTCTACAAAGGAAAGACCTGAATCAGCGTATCAATACACCCTGCTTCTTTCTAATGATCAGTCCTATCGACCTCTAACATCCACAGCCTCTTTGTACCCGACCTGACTGTCTGGCCTTCTTCGACTTCTTCTTGGTAAGCTTCTAGTTAACCCCAAACTGTCCTTGTGTCCAAGCCTTGAAGTCCCTGACCTCTTTTATCCATATGTATCGAATACATATTTCCTGAAGCTCATAGAAGAGCGCCCCCGCTTCGACGAAGCCCTTGGTGATGGAGCTCTTGATGAACAGCAGCAGTATCATGACAGCGCGACGTTGCGCATCCTTGCCGTATTCAACGATCGGGGTACCGTTACCGACACCATTGGTGGTTCCGTTTGTGGTTCCATTGGTGGTTCCGTTGGCAGTACCGTTGGCAGTCCCATTGGTCGTGCCATTAGTCGTTGTCTCCTCCTGCGACGTCGGAGGGGGCGCCTCCATCTTCTCAATAAGCCGCATTGCGTGCTGTATGAAATGGATGGTAACGTCTTGACCATCAATCCCGCTGTCAACGAAGGTGTGGTTGGTGTGTAGTTTGGTGAGAAATTCTAGGGACGATAGCTCGAGTGGAAGATGCGCGAGTTCTTGCACGGCTTGTTCGGGTTCGAATTTGAGCTTTCGGGTTATGGCTTCATCCCATGACTGTGAGCTGTTAACTTCTTGCGCCTGAGTAACGTGCAGTGACTCCTCGTCTTCCGCTGGTGCTGTGGGCTTCTGGACGGGCTGTGCAGGAGCTCGTACTTTCGGCTCTGGCAGCTCGTCCCAAACCTCAGTTTCAACGAGCATGCACATGTACGGTTCCAGATCGAAGGTTGCTAGTGGAACACCATCCATCTTAAGGCGGTCCAGTATCAAGTGGGGTGAGGCTTTGGATGACGATGGCTCCCACAGCAGGAGCCCCATGATGTATTCCGCCCTGGTGTTCCGAACTTCCGCAGCAGTGACAGTGTCGTTGCTGGTCGCCTTGTCTTCCTGCCCTTCGGCTGCTTCATTGTTGATCTCCTGGAGGGCCTCTATCCAGTGCGACAAGTAAACCTTGTGCTTCATAGGTGTCTCTTCGGCCAACTTCCACAGTTTGTACTCGCAGTTCAAGATGAGCCTGAGCACTGGCAGAGTCGGCTCAAGTTTGGCCTGCTGGACGTACGCATCGAGCGTGTTTTTGACCCGGATCGATTCGATGAATGAAGTAGGGTCGGTATTTAGCGAGCGCATAATTTTGTCGAGCTTGCGGATCGCGCCATCGTGGTCAAAGGCATCGCTGCTAAGCGCGTCGATTTCGGCGTCTGTGAGCGTGGCAGTCATGAAGCTCATACTGGGCGGTATTTATATCGCGCCTTGCGCTTCGAACGATAGGAATGCGGTGAGTGATACGGTTTGGAGTGGAGGGAATACATAAGGGTCGAAGTGGGCGCGAGGTGTGACGGTCGTGAGTGCTGGTGCGGAGCGCGTGAACCTTGGAAAGAACGGCGATGCACGTGCCAAGCATAGCATCGTGCCTCTGGTTCAGCCGCACATCGGACTGGAGAAGCACCGACTCTGAGTGGTTGTCATGAGATATATTTGCTCACCCAGAGATACATTGGTAATCATGAGCTGCAGATCGGGGTCGCGACCTTGAGCTCTGGCACGATCACCAATGCCTCGAACGTTCTGCGTCTGTTTGTACTGATTGCTTCTAGCCATCTTGACTATCTAACCTTCGCAACATCACACATGGCGTTCATGCTTGCACATCATCGCAATTGCAAAGGGATGTTCGTAGAATGTTTGATTATATTCTCATTACAGCACGCTCGTAGAAACGCACCAGGATGCTCGCGAGGAAACCTGAGATTGTCCCAGAAAACCAAGACGCCAAAACCTGAAGCTATTCATGACATTACAGACGGAGCCAAGCCAAGACTACCTCCACCCGACCGGAAGCTCCGGCATCCCTAAGCGACGCCATGCGAAGTGTGTCCTGGCATCGAAGATATCGGTGAGTGTCGAGTGATGGTCAAGCTTTGACAATGGCGGAAAAAGAGGAAGATGGGTATCGTGATGTGACGTTGTTCGTCAAGCCGTTATCGCGGCATCGTGAAAGGTGTTTGCGCGCCCCCGCTAAAACTTGAATATGATGTACAGAGCGTGGATGATACCCTGGTGATGTTGTTAGTGACAGGGTCGCGGGTGATGATGTGTGTACCGGAACTCACCGGAATATAACCAAGAACGGTCAACAGGATGTTGATGAGGAAATCAGCGTTGCATCCGCGCTCAAGGAAGACACCCAGAGGAGGCAGGATGATGGCAAGGAGGATCTTGCAGATGTCGCTGGCGATTGTTAGTGTCTACGTCTTCAGGTAGGCTGATTGCTGCTGGAGCGGACATACCTGGCGGTGAAAGGCATGTTGGAGTGTTGGGTTGTTCTTGCGTGTAAGAGTTGGAAGTGCTTGTGGTAGAGTGCGGATTGATGGTGTGATGATTTGACAAACAGCGGGAGTCTTGCTTAGTATTTATGGCAGGTGACGAGGGCAGCTCATGACCACAAGAGTGACGTAGCCGGTGAAATTCAGCAAGGATGGCAGGCGCTGCCGCGTACCCGCACGCGCCACACCTTCCGTTGTGGCGTCATAGGTGTCCGAGTGACCCGACAGCAAAACAAGATCGCGCTCAAACTTCCAAGCAGAGTTTCCACGGCGAGATTGCCTGTCAAGCCCTGCGAGTGACGCATGCCGCGTTCTGAGGCTGGGGGAAATTGCGTGCTGCTGCTTGGTCAACCCCGGACTCAGCAGCGGCCGTGTTTCCGAGCCTCATTTGCCAAACGTACATGTCTCTAGACGGTGAGATGGTGCTCTTGGCTGGCAAGGCCTGGATCGCCCACCAGCCACAAGAGCTGCGCAAGCTTCATGGGCTTGTGCCGTCGATCCACCTCACGTCACAGCAGCCGCCGGCCATCATGCCGCTAACATGATGTCAAGCCTCACCATGTGGCGTAGGCTTCTATTCATAGTTAGTTGTGGCTCAAACCTGGGGGTTAGGTCAAACTACTGGGGCTTTCGTTCCACCTTGGCTGCGCCTATTGAACACTCAGTGGATTGGCGTCAAGCGACGCGCCTGCAATTTTCATTGTCGAAGTCTCTAGCAAGGCGTAGCTCAAAGTCCTGCACGGATAGATCGCCGGGCAGCTTGGCATGTGCCTGCGTGGACACGCATTGTGGAAGATGCCGGTGTATGGCCGGAATCGATCGGAATTGATTTGCGCATCGGTGGAAAGATAATAAGCACAGAACATGGAAGACCTGCTATCATTTGATCATCGCAAATGGACAATGACTCTCATATGAACCGACAACCAAGCTGCCCCGGTGCAATGATCGCAATACCACCTCATACAAGCAAAAAAGGGAACATAGACATAGCGCTACGTGTAAGCGCTACATGTCTAGTTCTTCCATTAAATGGAGTGATGCGATCCGCTGTATGATTTTGCTATAACTATCCCGACGATGTTTTCCGTATAAATCATTCAACTGTCTTCACAGGTTTTGTTATTGCGCAAAACCCCGAATAGCCGCGTTCAGAATACCATCTGATTCATTCTAAGAATGCGTAAACAGCAAAACCAGACACACGATATGTGCACGCGATAACGTGTAGCTAAGCACTCAGCCCTCCAAGGTAACAAAATATCATTCATCGGGTATCATCTCAAAATCC